CTGGCGCTCCCCACCCGTGGCTCCCTGTGCGCCGGAAGCCCTCCTTTGGGCTCAAATCTTGACTGTGTAGAAACATTTCAGAACCATCACTTGAATGTGATCTGTTTCTCTAGTACAAAAAGGATTATCAGATATTCCTACTTTGTAGAGTGTTCTCAGGGCCAGAAGACTTGGGTACATGTAAAACCTTCATCCTGATTACTGACATGGAGAAGGTCTCTGCAGGGCTTAGCTCTTGAAAGAGGAAGGCTCATCTGGAATACCACCCACAACAACTTTGTACTGCCTGAAACTGTTAAAAGGAGACCCAGGGATGTTGGTTAGTGATAAAGCTCAGGCTTAGCATGTGAGAAGCCCTGGGTTCCATTCCTAGCAATAGACACACACACATGCGGTCTGGCTCAATTGCAGCTGAGTGGTACACACACTCCTCAAACTCCTGCTAAGTATGCTGTGCACCATGGCTGTGCTACTGCTGCAGGTGTGCTCTGTACACACTCACAGTCACAGTCCTGAACTGCAGTTGTGCAACCTGTTCTACGCGCGTTCTCTTATTCGCACATCTTGTTTATCTGACTTTGTTCCAAGGATGCTGCCTCAGCTCAGTGGAGCTCAGGCTCAGTTTGACAGTCCAGGGCTGATAGAGGATCTTGCTGGTCCTGCATGAGCTGCCATCCCTGCAAGGATCTCTGGCATCACATACCCAATGTCTCTCGGTTCCACACAAGCACCTCTGCCAGCAAAACGGGTGCCACGGAAATGCTCCTATTTGCATCTCATAAAAGCTTACACATTTCCCCCACTTTCCCGACACTTGGGACCGCTGGATGTGGTGCCATTTTAGCCCACCTGCAATGCCACCATCGTGGTCTTCCTCTAGGTGGCTCTGCCAAGTTGGATCTTCCGCGGGACTCTCTTGGCATCACATGATATAAATCGTCCTGGAAGCCCCGCCCCCTGGCTATGTTCCTGTTTCCAAGCCACTCCCAGCAGGTTTCCCAGCAGGAAAATGGTTGCAGATCAGACAGTCTCAGAGTTAACCACGCCTCTACTGCTGGCCTGGCTTGGTGATGGAACTGAGCATATGAAAAGCATCTGAAATTTTAGAATCCAAGGAGGCAGGAGTGGGAAGGAAGGAACTG